GGGGGGGGGGGGGGGGGCAAATCTTGAAAATGTATTCTGTCCATTTTCAAGGCTAATTGGCATGGGGTTGTTATACAAAGAACGCGGGGAGCTGGGCACTGTCATGAGAGACAGGTACCAATATAAAAAAGAAATACCGTACAGCGGGGTGACAAGGGTGACATGGAAAAAAAAAACAAGTAATTAATTACATGCTTGAGAGATGCCTTTAAGCAGTTTGTGGTGTTATGGAGCAGTACAATTCTTATGAACAGCATCAGTAACACCATATTTTTGTAGCTGGAGGAGCTTGGATCTACAATACCTCCTCTGCTGTCATAGTGAAATCCACCATTGGAAGACTGAAGGCATTAAAAGACCAAAAATATAGCCACCCTTCTGAAATTCAGCTTCTTGTCTGTTTGTATCAATTGCTCTTTAAAGTGAAACTCCAGGCATGTTACCCCCTATCTACAAGCAGATATGCCTTTTCAGCCCCGATCCCCGTACCCCAGGTCGCTCTGGGGGGGGTTTGACCCCCCCCATCCCCCCCCTTATCTACGCCCCTGCTCCTAACCAATGCTATGTCCCGTGGGTGCAGAACCTGCTCACTCCCTACTAGGTGCATGTGCAGAACTTCTACTTCTCCCTCTAGTCCTGACTGACATCATGAATACAGGAGATTGTCTAACTTTAAATTCAGCTATGGCAATGGGGAATTGAGGATGCGGTGCTTTGGTGTACTAAAACAATAACCTTCACTTCCTGTTCTGCAGACACAACAGGAGGGGAAATATCTCCAAAGTAAGTGTAATGAAACATACAAAAGAAAAAAAAAGCAACTGCATTTGTTGCTGACACAGAGAGAAAAAAAAGTAGTCCTTATTTGTAGGCCACCACACAGTAATGTAGCACAATAGCACTGTGTATAGCACTATATAGCACAACCAGCTCTCTCCATGATTGCACACTGTCAGTACTCCCTATCCACACCTGACACACACTGACAAAATGCTGTTGGGAACCCTGCCTTTTATACTAATTGGGCTGGCATATTAGAAAACCCCCCTTAGTTTAGTATGTGATGAACCCAAGGTAAATCCTAATCCATGGCTTATCCCTAGTCAAGTCCCTCCCCAGACTTGAAAGTGAACGAGAAGCCGTAGACAGATGAGCTCTCACTGTCACTCTGCTCCCTCCTCTTGCCAGCTAGTCAGAGTCTAAGCTCTGATGTACAGGGCATTGCTAGAGGATGATAACAAGCCAAATTCAGGTAGTTATAGTTGTTGGAATAATAAAGATATGCTGTATTGATGATTTTGTTAATGAACACATACTACATGGATCAGTGTCTTCTTATTATCTGCCTGAAGTTCAGCTTAGAAAATATAAACACTACGCTATTCACTTTAAAAATCGAAAAATTATGTTTTCCTATTTTTATGCAAAAGTATATAGATTATCTTTGTCACAGGCCAGTTTATGTTGAAGGCCGACTATACACTGTGAAACATTTTTGAACACTGCAGGTAAGTTCCAATAACGATTCTGTTAGGCATGTGTACTGTTTGTGAGGCATTGTTGTACATCCCAAGCAAGCATTAAACCACCATGGCTTCTAACTTTACCAAGACACAAACAAATATTAAAGGAAACTTACAGTGAGTGAAAAGGAAATATGGTGGCTGCTATTTCTGATCTTCTAAAATATTAGATGCCTGGCTGTTCCCAGACTCAATCCTTTCTGAGCATGTACCAAACAAAATCAGAGTAAAGTTCACACATGTGATTTTCATACTTTTCCAGGTCACTGGAATGACAGTCAGGCAATTTAGAACTGGAACATATTTCCTCCTACAGATTTCCTTTACACATACAAAAAGTCAAAGACAAATTATACTCAGAATTGTTATACTGCATCTTTTGATGGAAGCAGGAATGTGGTTTCCAACATGTGATGCATATGTGTCTGGAACTGTTTCCATGTTACAGTATTTGTACATATTGTATTCCCGTTGGCAGCTGATCATGCCCAATATGTCTACTATATGTAGCAGATCTGTCTATTTCCTTGTTAGGATGGATGACTCCTTATTGATAAAGGTAGCAGAAGTTAACTCTGCCATGATCAGTGTGTATTCATTTCTACACAGCATTTAGAGGGGTTGCTAGACTGAACTTGGTATAAGTATCTCGGTACGAGGATTACAGAAATGTCCTTTACTTATGCAGATTCTGCGTTCATGTGTAGTCAAGAAATTCATTCCTCAAGATGTGTTATGTATATTATGCTATTTAATCCATAAATAATGTGTGTTTTCATCATATTTAGGACAAAGAAGAGGAATATGTGTAAACATAAATCACTTCCCTGAAGACACAGATTATGATCATGACAGTGCCGAATATCTTCTGCGTGAGTCATTTTTAATTACATTCACAGCACATACAGACTTGTGTATATTGTTGATTGTTCGATGTACGATTTTTGTTTGACTTTTTTTTACTTGTTGCACACTCTAAAGCACTAATATGAAAATGTTCCTGGTCCCTCTCCATAGATGTTAGCTTGTTCTGTTGTTGGTACTTGGAAACTGGCTACAGGGATTTTGGGGTATAGTAACTATATCTGGAATCCAAAACTAAATATTGTCTGAGCTGTGAACTTTGTTGCCCATTATATTTGTGAATTCAGTATAAAAACAAAAAACATAATATCTTTTACATGCTACTAGTAAAAGTTATTTCCTTCCACAGTTCCATCTGTCAAACACTGGACTTTTCCTTCTAGGACCTACCTTAAAAACAAAAACCATAATCTCTTTTACATGCTACTAGTAAAAGTACCTAAAATCTGCCATTACAGGTGAATTCCACACTTACCATCACACAGAGACTCACAATGTGGCAGGGAGGCCAGCTCTATGACTCAGTTATTTCCTTCCACAGTTCCATCTGTCAAACACTGGACTTTTCCTTCTAGGACCTACCTTAAAAGTCTGTATTCTTCTGTCTACTTTAATTGTTTTTCTTCTAGGAGTGCAAAGTATGGGGCTGATCTCCTCATTGAACTGCTGGTCCTTCATTCTTTACCATACCCCACCACTCAACAGATTTGATTTGATTTTCAGAAGATAGGAGTGGGGTTTGGTAGTAACTTGAGCAGAAGCCGAGGCCATGTGTACACCTTCTGCTTGAAATGTAGGAACTCAACAGGGCAATAATTATTGTTCTGAAGTCTAATACAGATACTAATAGGCAGTGCAAGATGCCTGCACTTCAGCAGTATGTGAAGGTGCATGTTATGGGTCTGCATTCTTTTTGTCTTATAAGACAAAAAGCTAGATACAATATACTGTGACCAATAGCAAACAATTGTTGGAAATACAATCGCACATACAGTATTTTGTCTTTTGAGCTGTGGGTGGCGTTGTGGTGCAATGCTAGTATCTCAGTGCTTTATCTAAACACACAACCAACAACAATCAACAATAATCTTTCCTAACTTCTGACCCTTCTAAGCTAAAAGTTATAAAGATTGCAACTGGATAGTCTATTGCATAGAAGGAATGCACCGATATGTTTTTTTTGGTATCGAGAACGAGTACCAATATTTATCTTTTGGTACTTCCACTAGCATGAAGCCGGCTTCCCAGCCAATCAGCATAGAGCTGGCCAAACAACATGGAACCGGCTTCCCAGCCAATCAGGAAGCCGGGCAGCGAGTCATCACCCACCCGCTTACTGATTGGCTGGGAAGCTCGCTCCATGTTCCCTTGTGGCACTGCTGGTCAGAGGAATCTCCTCCTGACTGGAAGTTCCGCTATCGGGGGTATGTATTGGAACATTTGGGCGAGTACTCGCCCATATACTCGGTATTGACACTGATACTAGTATAGGTGCATCCCTTATGCATAGTACTTTTTGTGGTGTGTGTATTTCAAAACTGAATAGCATTGACTTAAAGTCAGTGTTCTACACTGTGTTTGACATACCACTGATGTACAGCATGTTCTTCATTAAACATCTTGAAGGGCATGAAAAGCATTAAGCCGTTAGCCTAAGTGCTTTCATTACCTCTTTTACTTTTTCCTGAAAAGGAATCAATAAATAGTTATTTTTTACTTCATAGTGATGTACTGAATTAGGTCCTGTTATTGAATTCAGTTTCCTTTGAAGTTGAGGATACTTTGATATTAAGATACGGATGCCTGTTTATGTGGTACAGTGGTATTAACAAGAGTCTGTGTCCAATAATAAGAAAGGTCATTTCAAATAGTTTAGGGTGGGTTTAATTCAGTAACATGTTTCACTCATTGTAGCAGAGGAGTAATTAACAAAAAAAAAAATTGAGAAAAGAAACCATCAAGGAGGAGATATACTACACAACATGCATACTCAAGTTTGTTCACTTGTAAATGTATTTTGAATATTTAGGATTAAATAATATTGTTTTTAAAATAAATCTTCATACACCCTGCCTGGATAGGTATTGTATTAATACCTTACCGGAGCCCGCAATTCTGTATTTCTTTACCCTAGATACTCCTGCTTTAAATAAAGGAGGTAAAATGAATTTCGATTTTTCTCTGTTGCTATTGTAAGTACCGCTGTTTATCACTCAATCTGTGAGTACTACATCCCTCTGGATGGGTAGTACAAACCTCCCACCAGGTGGAAAAATAAATGAAAACACTATTTAAATAAGAATAAAGAATAAAAAAAATAAAAATAAAAAAATAAAGGAAGAAGATAAAACACAATAATGCAGAATTGCAGACTCATGGATTCCTAGTAATTAACACCTTAACTTAACCTAAGCAGGCGGGCAGGCTGCCTAGAGGATTTGCTTGATGCATCAACCAAGGTTTCCAGACCTCTTCAAAGCTAGTATATCTATCTTGCAAAATACTATAAAGCTTCTCATGAATCATAATCCAGTTTAATTTGGACAACACCATAGAGAATGGTACCCTTTCTAATTTCCAGTATCGAGCTATGGATATCTTTGCTGCTAAAAAGAAAAAGAACAGGAATTTGCCCTGTGCTCTTAAAAATACCTGGAACTGGTTTATTCAGTAGTAAGTGTTGCGGTTCTCTCAGGATATGAAGCCGGAGGATCTCAAAGAGCAGGGCAAAAAACCTATTCCAAAAGCGGAGCAATTTTGGGCACTGCCACCAAATGTGGATCATAGTGCCTCGCTGATTGCATCCTCTAAAACATAGGGGGCTCGTCGCAGGAAACATAATTGCCAATCTAACCGGGACAAGGTATCATCTAGAAAAAACTTTAAAATTGGCCTCTGCTAGGGAGACGTTGGGGATTCCCATCATCAACCTCGTAGTGCATTGTTGCCATTCTTCCAACGAGAGAACAGCACCTAGGTCGGATTCCCATGCAGCCATGTAAGCTAACTTCGTAAATGGCCCAAGTAATGCAGCATATATTGAGGAGATACCCCCCCGTTGCTCAGACCCCCGCAGGCACCACCGCTCAAACTCTGTCAATAACGGAGCCCCACTTTCAGGGATCTGTAAAGTTTTTAAATAGTGCTGTATCTGTCTGAATCTAAACATTTCCGACTGTGGCATCTGCAGAGTATTTAAACAATAGGGAAGCGATATTGGTTTATGTGATATTATAAAATCAGCGAGCCTTTATCCACCCACCATTGAAATGCTTTAGACTGTAGTCCCGGAGGGAAGCAAGCATTGTTAAACAGTGGTGCAAGGGGGGTTTGAGATGAAAGGATCCCCTCTTTAGCCCGAAACCTATCCCATAGGGCCAAAGAATGTAACAAAGTAGGTAAAATATTTTTGGGCCTTAGCCTAGTAGGCATCCATTTTAATGCCTCAACAGAGCTAATCTCTAGTTCAACCCAGTCAGGGATAACTGCCGCAGAATATAATGAGAGCAGTTGTGACAACTGTGCTGCCCTGTAATAATTGAGCAAATTCGGGACCGCTAATCCCCCCTGTTGTCTAGATTTGAAAAGAATAGTGCGAGAGATTCTGGGGTTTTTATCACCCCATATGAATTTACCAATACACGACTGCAATTTGATAACTTCTACCCGTTGAATCGGGATTGGAAGAGTCCTGAAATAAAAACAGAATTTTAGGGGTTAGGGTCATTTTGATTGAGTGAATACGTCCCAGCCAAGATAAGTTGTAGGTGGACCATCTCCTCATATCTTCCCTGAGGGCTTTGTATAATGAAGGATAATTAGCTGTGTAAAGTTGCGCATATGACGGGGTAAGCTTAACACCAAGGTATTGGAGATAATCCACTCCCCATTGAAATGGAAAGAGCACTTAAGGGCCTCCCACAGATCTAGGTGGAGATTAATATTGAGTGCCACAGATTTAGAAGCATTGACTTGGAGTCCTGAGATCTCAGAGAATTCGCCCAACAGGGCCATCAAATTGGGAATTGAGACAAGAGGGGAGGTCACAAAGAGTAGAATATCATCTGCAAAAAGAGCACATTTATGCTCCTCTGACTGGCACATGATCCCTCTTATATCAGAACTGCCTCGGAGCAATATAGCTAAAGGTTCGATCGCCAATGCAAATAACAGAGGCGAGAGGGGACACCCTTGTCTCGTCCCTCTACGTATAGAAATAGATTCTGACAAATAGCCCTGTAGGCGAATCTGGGCTGAGGGGGCGGAGTACCATACTTGCACTATCCGTAAAAAATAAGGTCCAAACCCCCAGCGTTTTAACAATTGCAGCAGAAAATTCCAGGAGACCGAGTCAAATGCTTTCTGAAGATCTATAGATAGAAGCATGCCTTTATGAGGGTGAGATCCCCCCAAGGAGTTGTTTAGCACTGAAGTAAGGTCAATTGCCCTCCTAACCTGATCTGGGCCCTGCCTGCCTAGAATAAAGCCTACCTGGTCCTGATGTATATAATTACCTAAAAATGTCTTCAGCCTATTTGCAAAGATTTTGGATAAGAACTTAATATCATTATTAATTAGTGAAATTGGCCTATAGTTAGATACCTCCCCTGGATCTTTATTAGGCTTTGGAATGACACTTATGAAAGCTCTATTAAGGTCCAGGTCCAGGGGGGCTCCTGAGTGCAAAGAATTAAAGAAGGCTTCCATATGGGCAGCACAGTGGCGTAGTGGTTACTGCTTCTGCCTTGCAGCACTGAGGGTCCCTGGTTCGAATCCCAGCCAGGGTCACTATCTCCAAGGAGTTTGCATGTTCTCCCTGTGCGTGCATGGGTTTCCTCTGGGTACTCCGGTTTCCTCCCACACTTCAAAGACATGCTGGTAGGTTAATTGGCTCCTCTCTAAGTTGGCCCTCTATGTATGCATGTGAGATAGTGACCTTAGATTGTAAGCTCCTTGAGGGTCAGGGACTGATGTGAATGTGCAACTATGTAAAGTGCTGTGTAAATTG